AATCAGATGCAGATGAGTCTGAAAGGGTCGAGAAGCAAGAAGAAGTAAAGTCTTTATTTCTGACATGAGTCTGGCCGTGGACTGAGCCTCAGTGGCTGAGAGTGTGGTGAAGGCTTAGAATCGGGTGGGCGGCTGGGAGAGCTGGTGCAGAGGACAGCTGGGCAGAGGCACAAGCAGACGGGGAGACCACAGGTGCGTTAGCAGCGTGCAGATGAGAGAGGACAAGACAGGCGGACCAGGGTGTCAAGGCTGGAGCTCAGGGAGGGGGTGGTGGGGACAGACTCAGGAGATAAGGGCAGTGTAAAAGGGGCAGGACCTGAGGATGGCTGCATGAGGGGTCTGATGGAAACAGGTGCTGAGGAGTTGTTTTCTGGCCTTTTCAACTCAAATGGCAGGGCTGTTCACTAAAACTGATGCCCCCAGGGAGGGCTCAACAAGAAGCTTCCATGGAATTTCTGAGCAGCTGTGTTCTAATGGCTCTGAGTCTGTGGGTCTCACCCTACCTATACCTCTACAGGGGAGGCCTGATTCTCACCACAGGTCAGTTCAAACCAGAACTCTGGGGTGAGGCCTGGGCGTCAGGAGTTTTCCAAGCTCCCTGGGTGATTCTGGTGTCCAGTGAGTGACGAAAGTCCTAGTCTCCATCAATCTGCAAATGGTACCCTCATCATTGGCCATCTGAGAAAGACAGGGGACTAAAGCCGGTTGCTTAGTCAGGAGAGATGACTGCAGGGGGAGGAAAAGGGAGAACAGGGGGTCAGCCTCAGTAACTTGCCACAGTCCACAGGAAGCCAACCTGGGATTTGACTCCAGGCCACCTACGTCCAAAGCCCAGCCTGCTGAGCACTGCACTGGGGACAAAATGGCTCCTGGCCCTTACGTGGGGCCAGCAGCTGGGAGAAAGTGGGCTGTTCAAGTGGGAGGGGGGATGTGAGTGGGAGGTTTTGACTGTGGGGAGCCAGGGATGGTGGGAGGTGCTGACCCGGTGATTCCCAGACTGGCACGTTGCAGGAATGTAAGGAAACTCACACAGTGACCTGGGTGAATGAGGACATTTACACCGACATCAACCAGCATCTCCTCTCGGTGTCATTTCACAAAGGAAAGGGCCTTTACCACAGGGGGAACAGGGTGGCATTTGACCATTAAGGGCCATCTTTTACATTAAGCTTAAGTTTTAACATTTTGGCTTCCTGACAAGCTCCCTGCAATGGTGGTCTTTTCCTTACACGGTGGGGCAGGGGAGCCTGCTGGGGGCTGGGAACACTGCAAAGGTTGACCCAGTGGAAGTCACACCAGTAGGTAAATGAGTAAAACATGCACTGGGCTGGATACTTCATACTGTGTACTTCACACATGTTGCACACCCACGCCTGTGCGCTGAAATAATATTAGGAATATGACAAGATCACTGAATAACACGTAAGTGTATTAAACTAATCACAATAAATTGTTGGCTCCAAAATCTGATGACTGCTTTTGGGCAAGAGGTCCCCAGTGGGGAGAAAACTGGGTTCAAAGTCAGGCAGTTCTGGGGAAACATCTCACCTCCCAGGGATATTGTGAGAATTCAATGAATGGAGCAGGGCAAGTGCCCAGAAAAGGCCAGACACGTGTCAGTGCTCAGGGGACATTGGCCATGACAACTCACTCACTCACTCACTAATGGCTTCTCTCGAAAGCAAACCACTTTTCATTTCTTGTAAATCAATGTCTTCAAAGGGGATCTCACATTACTCCAGAAAATGGAAAATCTTCCTTGCCACGGATGAAAGGTTACAATCAAAACACAATAAAGAAATCAAAATAACGATAACAGGTCCCAGCGAGCTCAGCAGCCTGCTCGGGGCTACGAGCTGGAGACTGTTGCCTCTGCTGAAAATGGACGCTGGCGACAGTCGTGACAGGCATGAACGACTCAGCATTAATAACTCAGCACGAACTGAGACATCTTCCTGATGAGAATCAAGAGGGAAATGGCTTTCTCAGGGTGTGCATCTGTGTCGTCTAAAACTATCTGCCACCCCAGCACAGTACGGCCCACACCAGCAAAGGATGGTCTAGGCCGAAGCAGCCTTTTCATTGAGTTTGTGTTGTTTATAAACGGGCGGGCGACGCTGAGGGCAAACATCCACTGGGGCCCTGCCTCACTCTCCCCCCTTCTTGGAGAATCAGCCCACGACCATGCTAACATGCTGTGGGGTCACCTGACTCAGACAGCCGGGCCAGTCAGCAACCTCTGGTGGGAATCTTTAGCAGGTGCCCCAGGTGGAGCCTGTGCGGGGCACTGGGCTGAGAGGGTGAGGGGAGCGTGGGCTCCAGGGGTTGCTTCCCGCTACAGAAACACAAACACCTATGCAGAGAAGGCAGGACACGAACACACAGACAAGAATGGAGATGAGAAATCCAAGGGGCTCACAGAAGAAGAATGAGGTGCCCACTCCCACCAAAAGCTGCTGTGAAAAGACAGTGGTGTGTGCAGACCCACAGAGAGAAGCCAGGACGAGAGCCCCGGGGCCGTGGAACAACCGTGCTTCCTCCCACGTCCTGAACCCATTCTCGGGGCACCCCAATCCCAGGTTCCGCCAGGCACCTCACTTCCATCTGCCAGGGGAACTAGGTTTCCTGCCTAGTGATTCCTGGTGGAGACAAAAGGAAAGTGGGAAGGAGGAGGTGGGCCCAGCACACGGCGGGGCCTGTGGGGAGGACGGCGAGCCACTCGGAGCCCTTCTCTACCAGCCGGGCCTCAGGAGAGAGGAAGGAACCCAGGAGGCTGCAGGCCCCCGTGTGGAGGTGAGGAGAAGCCTTACCCAGCGAGAGCAGGAGCCCACAGGTCTCCCTCATCACCCTCCAGTACAGTGTCCTCTGTGACAGGTCCAGTAATTCCCACTCCTCCTGGGTGAAGGTCACAACCACGTCCTTGAAAGTCACTGGTGCCTGGAAAGTCACACACAGTAGCGTTAAGTGCACCGGGGCCGTTTGGAGGAATCAAAGCCTGTAACTTAGTTACCGGTGAAGGTGCACGGAGACCCAGCCCTGAACTGAGGCCTCCGGAGGGCTGAGCTCTGAGCTGGGTGTAAGTGGGAGGCAGACACGGCTGACAGAGAAATCTTCAATGGCAGATGCCATGGAGAATGACACAGACAACGGCGTTCCATGAGGACCTTGGGGGCAGAAGGTAAGTGGTCTGGGACGTCAGAGGACCGGGGAAATACTCATGAAGACAATTCCAACCCTGAGAACAGAGGTAAAAGCAGCTGGTCCTCCCTGGTCCTCCCCGCATGCCCGCCCCTAGCCGAGGGCTTCACGTGCTACGGCAAAGGGATTAAATGTCCCCAGGTCTGGAGCACACTCCCAAGCTTGAATTCAACCTTGAATCACCACCTGCCTGCTGTCTACCTTGCGGAAGCCACTTCATTCCTCCGAGCTTCCGTTTCTTCCACCAGTACAACAACAACTCTCCCACTTTATCAGATTGAGAAGTCGAGAGAAAACATTCATAAAGCCAACACTAGAGTCTTGGCTCATGACAGCGCTCTGTACATTTTGTTAGTGAGTCACCCTGAGAGTCCCCAGTCTACATAGCAGAGGTGGGATCTGAACCTAGGACCCTCTGGCGAGGGTCCGTGGCAACGCTTACGCCCCTCCATCACTACAGGTGAGGCACTGCCAGGAACTGTTGCTGTTTATCTGCCTCCGCCATCCCTGACCATACATCTGTGGACACGAGCAGAAGAATGGAGCCGTCCTCTTCCACCTCACGGGAGGCACCATCCTGGGAGCGGCAGGGCCTGGATCAGCTCCCCACACCGGCTCGGGCCCCCCAGCCGTTCAGACCCCCACAAGATTCCACAGTGAGGTATCAGTCAGTTTTCCCTTCCAGAGTCCTGGCGGGATATGTCCCTGAGGCACGAATACCGTGAGAACCAGGGAACCCAAGCGGGTGAGAATAATGCCCTTGTGGCCATAAGAACACAGGCAGCAGTGTCTGACTGGCTGTGATGTCTGTCCTGGGCAAGGGTCAATGACCATGCGTGCTCCCTCCTCGAGACCCATCTTAGCAGGTGGGGGGCACATGGCAATCACAATCTCGGGCCTCCTTGAACAACTCTGTCTTCGCGGCCTCTGTCCACAACGTTCCCTCTGTCTGGGATGGCCCCTCTTGCCTTCCTTGTTTCCAAGCTCACCTGCAGGAGAAATCTCTACCCCCCTCACACAGATTAATTTAGGCGTCATCCTCAGGCCTCCCCAGCCCACTGTGGTTGGGAACTGGCTCTGGCAGCCAATGGACAATGTGTGAGTTTCAACTACTTAAAAGCTGTGTGACCTTGGGTAGGTAACTTAATGTCTGTGAGCCTCAAGTTCTTCTTCTGTAAAGCAGGGATGATAACAGAACCTAACTCTGAGGAGGTAGGACCTGAATGAGCTGAAACATAACTGTCCCTCAAACCAAATCGAGGGCCCAGTGGAAGTCCGCTATTATCACTGCTTCTTATGATTATTTTTCCTCTTTGCACCTCAAGCACCCTGGAGAATCTCAATCCAACACTCAACTCTGCACAAAAATGCTAGCGCCCGAGCACGTTGATCAGGGGCTACTTTAGCGAGAACCTGAAAGACAGAGGTGGCATTTGAGCAGAGGCCTGAGGAATGCACAGGGCTGCCCCGCAGAGCTCTGGAGACAGGATCCAGGGCAGATGGCACTGGCAGGGCAAGGCTGGAAAGTGAGGAAGAGCTGGGCAAGTGGAGTGTGGCATGGCTGCAGGGCAGTGGGATGCAGAAGAAGGGAAGGGAAGACACGTGTGTGCACACAGAGCAGTCACACTACACCAGGCCACGGTGGGGGTTCAAACACAGGTTCCAAGTGGGATGAAAGCCCATCCGGGAGTCTCGCTCATTTTCCAACCAACTACTGAGGTCCTGTTACAGCTATGGCCCCATCAGAGGCCTGGCGCCACAGCAGCAAACAGGAATCCCAGTTCCCACTGGAGAAAGATCCCAAACTAGAAACTAAATAACTGAGCGAGAGAGACGATGCAAATGGCCCTACAGGTTCTGAGGCCAAGAAACAGGTGAAAAGGCTAGAGTGTCAGAAGGAAAGCTAGCGATGGCCTCTCTGAAGACAGGCCACTGGAATGGCTGGAATGAAGGGAGGAGGCCACGCGAACCACAAATGAAGACGACAACTCCTAATGGTGACTGGGACTATGATCGGAGTGAATAGAGTCATGTGCCCGAGAGAAACCTGGAGTGTGTCGTGTGTTTACATCTAAACGCACATCACACAGGGTGCCTGGGCGGCTCAGTCAGCTGGGTGTCTGACTTCGGCTTAGATCACAATCTCACAGTTTGTGAGTTTGAGCCCCGCATCGGGCTCTGTGCTGACAGCTCAGAGCCTGGAGCCTGCTTTGGATTCTGTGTCTCCCTTGCTCTCTGTCCCTCCCCTGCTCGCACTCTGTCCCTCTCAAGGATAAATAAGCATTAAGAATTTTAAAGATAAATAAATAAATGCACATTATGCTCCCGCACACTGCCAACACTGAATCTTTAACGCACGTACTTTTCACATAAGAGTAAATGTCTTCAGGGACGCCTGGGTGGTTCAGTCGGTTAAGCATCTGACTCTTGATTTTGGCTCAGGTCATGATCTCACAGTTGTGAGATGGGAGTGTTGGCTCTGGCCTGGGGGTGGAGTCTGCTTAAGATTCTCTCTCTCTTTCTCTCTCTCTCTCCCCCCCTCCCCTGTGTACTCTCTTTCTCTCAAAAAAAAATTTTTTTTAAATAAAGTATCTTCAACAGACAAATAAACTTACCACTGTAAGTGGCAAGCCAGCATTGCTTGTAATAAACAGACGGCAACTATAAAGATGAACCCAGTGACCTTCCTGGGTGCCCAACCTGCCCAAAGGCCCTTTTCATGCCAGCAGGGAAGCAAAATTCCAAAAATACTGCTCCCACTGTGAGTCTTCCCCTAGGCTCTCTCTTCCCAAGTTCTCAGCTGAGACAGGGGAAACCCTGGGGCAGGATTCCGCTGGGGTGAGCCCTGAAGACCATCAGAGGACAAGGGACTCTGCTCCCTGAAAACAGTGTCCAGGGTGATGCTACCTGGGCAGTGTTGGACTGGGGTACACACATCACACACATGCCCTCTGATCCCCTCAAGCCATGAGGAGGAAATGTTGATATTCCCATGGATCCCCAGAGATGGAAGCCAAGAGCACTGACCAGACTCCTCGAGGTCATGGCCCTGGGAAAGGCATTGCCATATGGCCCCTAAAGTCTCTACACTGCTGCATGAGCTCTTTCCTGAAGTACAGTTCACTCAGACGGTGCAGGGATGGGGGAATTCTGAGAAGCATCATTTCTCTCTCACTTGCCCTGCCTTGAGGACAAGGTCAGGGCAAAGGCCTCCTTGGATCCCAGAGATCACAGAAATGAATGGCCACAACCGGCACTTCCTGGGCATTCCCTAGGCGGGCTGTGCCACATTCAGTGCCTCCCACATCTGCCTCCAGGACCTCAGAGGGAAGACCTGCAATGAACCCCATTTCATGGCCAGGGAAGCAGACTATCCCACGGCGGGGCAGGGACAGAACCTGGAGACGAACCCAGGCGGTAGGCTTTGGAGCTTGTTCTGCACACCACGACACACGCTCTGGCTGGGAAGATGGCTGAGGGTGATGGGGGAAGGCAGTTCCGGGTACTATGTGGGGGGTTGCAGGGAGCCTCCACTCACCCCAAGCCTACTCTCCCCTCCAGAGCTAGAAGAAGCCTATTAAAACTGGACTCCAAATCCTCCGTGGTCCCCACCATGGCCTCAAAAGAGGCCGATTTCTCAGCCTGTTACTCCAGACCCGATTCCCAACCTAGTGCTGTCTGTTCCCACCGGACAGATTCTGCCCTGCTCGGCCTGACCTCCCTGCATCTGCACCTTATGGTGGGTGTGCCCGGGACACCCTTCCACACCTCACCGATTAGCTGACGGAGTGGGGGACCCTTCCACAGGAACCTGGCCTGGCTTCGGGACACCAGGGTGGCCCCCAAACACAATGGCGTAGTTAGGAGAAGCGACGAGACCCAGGACACCACCACCTTGGATGTGGAGGTGCCACGACTGCGTGGTTGGGGGTCCACAGGGCCTGAGGGGGGGG